TACACTCATAGACCATATGGCCCAATAGAAAGAGCCTTGTAGAAAGATGTGCATTTAAATTTGGTTCTGCACTTACTCCATAAAGGTCCTCCTCAGAGATGCAGGACCCTGCATCCCTAAGGCAGGACCTCATATACACTTTAAGTACGTATATAAATCACTTAGTGATGTTGTTAAAAACTACATTGTGATTAAATAGAACTGAGGAGTGGGGTCTGATGTGCAGCATTTCTATCAAGCTCCTATGGCCTCAAATGCCGATGCTACAGGCCCTTGGACACACTTTTAGCAGCAAGGCCTTAGAATATTATTGATAGATCATGTGAAAAGTACACATGTGGGGGGGGGGACACAACTACAACAGGGACTCTACCTTACAGATGTAAACACTGTAACCTAATTGTTTGTACTCTCACATTAATCTGAAATAAAATAAAAAGGGAAAATACACGCATGTAAAAACAACCACTTTGTAAATAGTAAAGTAGCATATATATCATGTTATGTTGATTCTTTTTTTTTTGGAGACAGAGTCTCAAGCTGTCACCCTGAGTGAGTGCCGTGGCATCATAACCCACAGCAACCTCCAACGCGGGCTTAAGCGATCCTCTAGTCTCAGTTTTTCTATTTTTCGTAGAGATGGCAGGGTCCCACTGTTTGTCAGACTGGTCTTGAACTCATGAGCTCAAGCAATCCACCTACTCCAGCCTCCCAGAGTTGTAGGATTATAGGCGTGAGCCACGAGGCCTGGCCTATCATGCTACATCGATTCACAATAGAAGGGAATTTAAGTCACAAAAAAAGTCCTAGTAGAACAAATTATGTTTCAGATATTCTTCAATTTTTCCCTTATAGAAAAATCAAAAATAAAACTGTGAATTGGAGAGGTAATTCCAAGAAGAAGGATATTCATCCTAAACGATTTTGTTGTTTTCTGATGACCTTGAAAGATTAACTTTCATATCACTATCCTGAATACAAAGATGAGAAAAAATGCTTTTATTTAGAAGTTTGTACAATTAGACCCAGTCCAAGATTTGTCCTATAGATTGGCTCATTCCAATTAAAATAGAAATGGTAAGTGACAATGAGAAAGAAGACCACTGGATCCAGAAACACTGGCAACAGAAAGAGGGGGTCACTGTGAATGAAGAAATTAATAACAGCAGACACAGGAACAGAGAAATCAAAGCTGTATGAACATCTAGTTTTCCTAAGTGAAACTGATCTTTTTTATTAGTGTTTCAGTTGTCTAAAGGAAATAAAATTCACAAGTGGGATCAATCATTAATCCATAAAGCATTCCTTTTTCCTTATCTAAGGAACAATCAACAAGTCCCTATTGATGAAAAAACAGATTCTCTCTGAGGTTCCAGTCCTACAACATTTTGGTCAGTTTCTCATTGTTGCAGGGTCAGCTTGCTATACTACATGAAGATTTTTATTATAAATTAGAAAATACATAACAGACCCCTTCCCCTTGGTCCCAATCACTCCTAATCTTTTAGATGTTGGACAGACCCAAATTATCTACCCTTTCCTTGCTCCCATGACAGCTCCCTTTACAAAGTTTAGACTCTGCTTCCAACTACTCATCAGACTCACCTTTACCCACATTTTATGCTTTGTCTCCCTACTTCCATGGCCGTTTACCCTCTCTCACCTGCTTGTGGTGAGAGTAAACATCATTCATAATCCAAAATGTGACTGTTAAACAAAGGTGCGTGGATGAAAACTTAGTACCATCAGAGACAGGAAGAAGAAGATTGCTAATCTTCTAATAAAGAAGATTGAAATTTGAGTCATTGTCAATGAGGATTTTTTTAAATCAAATCATAGCTGTGTGCATTAAGGCATTTATGGGGTACAATGTGCTGGTTTTATGTAAAACTTGAAATACTTACAACAAACTGGTTAACATAGGCTTTACCGCACTTTCTTAATTATTGTGTTAAGACATTTGTACTCTACACTTAGTAGATTCGACATGGACCCTTGTAAAATGCACCATGAGTTTCGGCAGTACTATTCCTTTGAAAAATAAATTAAAAGTGAAACTATTAGTACCAATTACTAACTTAATTCCTCAGCCCAGTCAATATCAAATCAATAACCAGCCATTTAAACACAAAACAGCCCCTGCGTGACTAGGTTCTGAAAGCATTCGAGAAGCAGATACTTGAGAAATATTTAAAGAACTGCGCTCAGAGTGGAGAATATCACACACCTGCAGACTGTTCTTTGCTCGAGCCCTGGGTAATCTGGGTCAGCTGCCCCAGGTGGGCAGTCTCACAATTAGGCTGCTCTTGGCTCTCCAGTTGCTTCACCTAAGAAAACCTGAAACTTTGAGGATGACTGAGCAGCAGTTCCCCTCAGTAGAAACACTTGTGTGGTACACCAGGAGTGGTTTTAAATGGTGGAGATAATTACTTAATTCGAGCTGCAGCAACTGGCCAAGTAAACATGTAGCAGCCAGGAAGCTATTAGCATGATTTTAAAGCAATTATTCCATTAGTGTTTAATAGTCTCCAATTAGTCGTCTCTGACGATCAAAGTTTCGATGTCTTTTTTTCTCCAAAATTTCTCAGAACTGAGTAATACAAAAAGGTACCAAACCTTTTTCTTTCTATTTTTTTTTTTAAATCTGGCTTTATATGTATGGTACTACCAAACCTACGTTACAGAAACACTGGGGCATTGAGGAGCATAGATTTGGTGAAATACATTGTGTTTTTTTCTCAGAAAGATTGGGGTGAGAAGAGGAAGCTTTGCAGGGGATCCACTTTGAGTACAATACAAAAAAAGGGGGGGGGGAGAATGATGGAAATTCCCACGGCAGCATAATGCCATCATCTGTATGTCTTTACTCTGAAGATCACCAGAATACCAACATCTCTGGCCTCAGGTTTTCACTTTGTCTCAAGGAAGAAAAGGAAAATTGTCCATTCCTGCTAATGCCTAGTTTCTCATCTCATCACTCTGGTTAGTACTTGTTGCTATGAATCATCCAGATAAAAATCCCAAAGCCTTTCTCTCCAAAATTCCTAGGAGATGCTCCCTAAGGTCTAGAGTAGAGGTCAGATTCCTGAACTGACAGTACTAACAGGTCATTTGTCTTCAACAAGCTTGGGGTTTTTTATCTGTGAAATCAGAGACGATCATGCTAGCTGCTTCATGGGGTTTGGGAAGGATTATGAGAGATGATGCATATAACAGGGCTTAGAAAAAGTTAAGTATTAAAGATATGTATGGGAGATTAAAAATGATATCATCCCATCCTCAGAATTAGCTATGCACACTTAGTCTTTCAGCCCTGAGTATCCAGACAGTCACTTATCCGAAGGCTACATAGCAGTTCTTTCCCTTCTTGCTTTCTATATGTGTAAAAACAGTCAGGTGAGGCCAGGTGAAAGTAACTTTGAAAAAGAAATGAAGAAAAAGGACGGGAAGCCCTGTGAGAGTGACAGTGGAGTTTTGCCAACAAAGTTGTGTACTTTTCTACCATCGCCTTGAAAAGGGCAATCCCTAGGCTCAGGCAGACGGGGTGAATGCAGCGGAGAAGCTGGGGTGTTCTTTTCTTTGGAGATGAGCTCTTGGGAAGCTATCTCTTGCAAAGAGGATAAAAGGAGACAAGCGTTTTGTGGAGGAAGCTTACAGGGTAGCCTGGGCCTGTCATTGCCAACCACCCACTTGACTAACAACTATTGATTCGAGTTACTCATCAGTTACAACTCTGTTGGTTGGACCCTCTAGAGATTTCAAGAGACCCTTTCTTTTCCGGCTTGCCTTTATTATGTTTTCACCTAGTAGCTGAGAGGGGGCGCTGGAGGGGGCAATTGAGAAAAGGTAGACCAGGAGGTTGAAGTTCTTAGCTCAGCTCAGGGCCAAGAGCAGACCACCACCACTCATTTGTCCTCCAGGCGGGTCCTGGAAAGACCAAGTATATGTTCTCTCAGTCCAAGAGCTTAGCCAAATTGGTAGTGAAGTATGGCCATGTCCCCAGCTGTCATTGTCTTAAACTGTCCTGAGACGACCCTTCCTCCTCTGACACCTGAACTAGGGGCTGCTGCGCGCTCCCGCCCCAGAAAGCTGCCCAGTCCTTGGGTCCAAGTTGCGCGCCGTGCCGAAGCTTCCTGATCCCCCCGTTTCTTTCTTGCTTTGTCCACACTTCCCCCCTTCTAGGCTGTCTAGACGCCAGCTCAATCATCTTTCCCCCACCTTGTGCCTGTTAATCCCCCCTCCGCCACAGCTCACGCAGGCTTTCCTGCCGGCGTAAGTCCGGAGCAGCAGCCGCACGGTTCACAAAGGTTTGCTTTTCCGAGCCGGGCGATACGCGGGGCTCACGCGCCCTCCGACCAGACTCCGACCGCGGCTACTCAGCCAGGCCCTCCCGGGCCACCCTGCTCGGGAAGCGGGGCCCTCAGCCCTCGCCCCCTTCGGCTCCTGTCAAGGGCAGCTGTCACGCTGCCGCGGGTCCCTGAACTTTCATCACTCTTCGAGAAGCGTTTTGTCTCTTTAAAGGAGACTGGGGGCGAATATCAACGACTCCAGCGGAGAATCTACCACATCTGCTGAATTCCGTGCCCGGGGTGGACTCAGAGGTCCACGCGCCGGAGCCGAGACCCTAAGACATCACCTCACGCTCCCCTCACACGGTCACCCCACAGACCCAGAATTGCTCCCACTCTCCCAATCTGCGGGGAGAACCCTGGGGGTGGGGGGCACGCGGCGTCTCGCTGGAGCCCAGCTTCTCCCCTGCCCCAGTCCTGCGCCTACAGCCTGCTTCAAAAGCCCTGGAGAAAAGCAGTCACCTTGACTCCTGGCGCTTGGGTTCCCGGGGGTTTGGGAAACGCTGGGAAGCCCAAGGCTACCAAGCACGCGCTCGCCTCGCCCGTGACCCACCCCCGAAGACGACTTTCCCTCCCGCGGACCCCGCGGCAAGTTACCACTTAGTGGGAGATAAGCAGGGCGGGGCGGGTGGAGCGGAGCCCCGCGCCTACCTGGGATGGCTAAATTGGTCAGGGGGATGCTGTGGATGCTCTCCGGCAGAGTTGCCATCCAGTCGGCCAATTTCAGTTCGTTTTTCCCCTGAGATGAGGCCATCGTGCCGGTCGGCGTGCAGCGCGCTGGTCCCCGCGCTCCCCGGGCAGGCAGGTCGGCAGGCTGCTGCCGCTAATCCAATGTTTGCTCCAGCCCCGCTAGAGTTTACACTCCGCTCGGCGCCACACCCACAGGATGGCGCAGACACATGCTAATTTTAATAATTATTCAAAACACCCCATGCTCCCTCAGTGCCTCCACCAGACTCCGCTGGAGCTTTTGTTCCTGACGTCCGTGTCCTCTCCGCTCTCCCCTCCCTCCTCGACTCCCTCCTCCCGTCTCATCCTTCCTAGGCGTCTCTGCCTTTCCTCGCCATCCTGCAGTTTTCCTTGGCGGCTTCTCTGATTTTTTTAATTGTTTTGCCCGAGGTCTTACTCAGTCCTTTGGTGTGACTTCCTGGCCCCCTTTGTATGAAAGACAGTCCTGCGGTTGAACATAAAAATCTTAGTAGACTTCGGGATGGTGCTGCCTCGTGAGCAGCTGATTCTCATGCCTGCTTTCAGGACTTTTCATCCTTAACGAATAGCTTTCCTTGTTGTAAGTTACAACAGGTTATGTCTTTCCTCGGAGGCGGCCCACAGCCCTGTGTATAACAAAATGGTGGTCTTTAGTCATCACTTTGCCTAATTTTTTTTAACAGCTGATGAGAGTGGTGTCAATACAAGACACAGTTAAATTCGTGGTGGTTCCCACTTAATCTCAGGGACCCTGCTCCAGACATTTCAAATCGAGAAGTGCAGTACTTCCTTCGTTTTCCAGATCATGAGAAGTCTAATATTATTTCCACGGAGAAAGTGTCCTCTGTTCTGCCAGTTTCATGGCACTCAGGGCAAGACTGAAGCCTTATGCTAGAAGAAAATCGCCACATTTCCCAGGGACATGCTGTAATTATTGCCAGTAGCATTTGGTGGAAGGTATTTGGCACCAAAGTGATCTGTGTGACTGTCTAGATTTTCATTCCTTGGCAGACTAGAGAGACGTGCCTCTCTCAAGAGAAATCACTCGTTGAGCCTCTAAAGGACTGTCTGGGTCTACACGCCCTCAGATAATAAAAAGGAGAGAGATCAAGTCTTACGAATGGGAAGAGACCAGAGGTGGCCCAAGTACAGCCTTACAAGAGATGAATTCAAGTGTGCTGGGCCTTTGCAACCCTGAGAATGGAGGTGCAGTAAAGGTATCTCTATCCTTTCATCCCACTGGTGTGTAAATACTTCTTTTTCAAAAGGAAATCTTGTTAGATTGGAGAAATGAAAATCAAGGTAAGAAAGAGAGCTGGAGCTATGAAACTTAACAATAAACATGTCAGTTTCATAAACCCATTTAATAGCATTAACAAAGAAAAACACACCTGAATGTAGCTTATTTTGTACAAAGAATCTGAGCCCAAAGCATACTCACCCCCAAGTGGGGAGCACTATGGGAAAGATGGAGAGAGAAGAGATAATGCCTTATCCTTGAGATCAAATTTTCCAACCCCACCCCTATAGAATCAATTAATAGCTTCAAGAGGACACAGTAGGGTTACCTTTAGGGATGAGAAAGACATTTACTAGACTCTCCCTCAGTCAATCTTAACATGCATGTTAGCAAAACAGAACCCACATAAACTTTTAATTAGGATGAAAATTTAGCTCACTACAGGATTCTTGGGTCAAGAGACCTACAAACACCTCACATCTGGCAAATTGTGTGCTCTGAGGGCATCAATGCAGGGCAGATCTGGCAGTCAGCTGCTCTGTCTTTGAGCAGTTCAGGACAAGTCCTCTTCCCGGCCAGCCCTAGTTTTCTCCATTATAAAATGGTGATAACAGTTCAGAGACTTGTGGAGAAGCTGCTGGGAAAGCACGTATATTTGCTTATTACGGTAAGAGGATACATGTACTCCCTGCTCCTTGTCATTTCTATCTTTATATTCATTTTCAAGGAAATAAAAGAATTATTGAATCTGAGCAATTTTTAAAATAAGATACATGCCCTCTTAAAGTGTGCTGAGCTCATGCATCCCGGGAAAGTTTACAAAGTATTTTATAAAAGTGAAACCACCTTAAACATTGAGAATCATTCCCTCTGTAAAGAATCATGTACTATTTTTGGCAAAATGAACAAATAATGCTTTCCCTGTTTCATTTGCTTTGAATTTCAGGATTTTTAATGTACTGGTTTAGCACAAATGATTATTATTCTCTATATCAGTGGTTCTCAACCTTCCTAATGCTGCGATGTATTTTCATTGTTACAAAGGGGTCATGACCCACAGGTTGAGAACCTCTGGTCTATATGCAACCCAATAGAAAAGACATGTCTGAAAGTTGATAGTTCTGAATTTCTTTCCTGGCCTTGTGGTCAGTATTTTGGCAATTCTATGACCCAGTTTCCACATCTTTCCATCACTGCTCCTGCTACCATTTACTAAACGACATTAAGAAAATCATGTTTCTCTGGGCTTTAGTTTGGCTACTTTATTAGTCAGGTTTCTCCAGAAAAAAAGAGAACCAGTATATATTGAGAGGGGGGAGAGAGTGATTTTAAGAAACTGATTCATGTGACTGTCAGAACTGGCAAGTATGTAATTTCCATGTTGCATCTTTAACACAAAATTGCTTCTTCTGTAGAAAACCTTTGTCTTTGTTCTTAAGGCCTTCAACTTACTGGATGAGGCGCACACACATTATAGCAGGTAATCTGCATTACTCAAACAATTGAAAATGTTAATCACATCCACAAACACCTTCACAACATCTAGATGAAAATTTGATGAAACAACTAAGCATTAGCCCAATTGACACATAAACCATCACACCCACTGACAAACGAAACTAGAAGTTGCTATTGATCTCTACAACCCCTTTTGACTCTGTAATTCTATAATCCTGTTTCCTTTATAATTCTTCTCATACATATAGCTTCTAGAAATAGAAAAAGGAATGTAGATATTTATCTTAAATTTTGAATCTATTTAGACAACTTAAGGTATAGATCAAGATTTTATCCCCACCACATAGATGACAAAATATCAAAGACTTTTACTTGTGGTGTTGAGCATGACCTACCTCTAAAAATCAAACTTCTCTAGGAATAAATGGAAAGAGGAAGATGCCTTATTGCAATGGCTTCGTCCTTCCATGAAAACTTGTTCATGCAATCCTCTTCTGTCCTGCCAATTCACACCAGGAAAAGTTGATGATAAATACTGGTACTCATCTGAGACATGTCCTTACTTCATATCCTTTCCCACCCCTAAAAATACATGGCTCTTTGCTATGTATTTTCTTTCATAGTTCATAATCTTCATTGTGGGAGATAAATGGTTTTATTTAAATTAAGTGATTTTAAATTAGGTTTGAAAAACAAGGACGGTTAGAAGTCAGAAAGTGTTAGAATGTGTTTTAGTTGAATAGCGTTTTAAAAGAACTCTTTAAAACAATTTAGCCAAATAATTTAAAAACACCATCGTCAGTTATATACATGTATAGAGTCAAACTTAAAACATATACAAAAGGTCAACAAACAGCTTTTATAAAATTAACTCTGTTTTTTGTTTTTGTTAAAGACAGAGTCTCACACTGTCACCCTGGGTAGAGTGCCATAGTGTCATTATAGCTCACAGCAACCTTAAACATCTGTGCTCAAGAATTCTTCATGCCTTGGTCTCCCAAGTAGGTGGGACTACAGGTGCCCACCACAACACCCAGAGAATTTTTCTATTTTTAGTAGAAATGGGGTCTCACTCTTGCTCAAGCTGGTCTGGAACTCCTGAGCTCAAGCAATCCTCCTGTATTGGCCTCACAGAGTTCCTAGAGTACAGGCATGAGCCTCTGTGCCTAGCCTATAAAATTAACTCTTAATACATAATGCTTTTTTTTTAACCGTTATCTACAATTTTTACCTAGACATTTCATCCAAAAAGGAAAAAAAAACTTAATGTGCTATAAATATAGAAATGACTTCATTCTTAAGTTCAATGTAAAAAGAAAAAAGGTGATATTTTTCTGCCATAATTTTAACCCTGCAGATTTTTCCTTCTTATTCCTCTTTTTCTCCCCAATATCTACATTTTATGTGTTAGAAATAAGTTAATACTCTCTGAATATAATCTAGGGGCTAAAATCACTGCTATGGAATCTGAAGACCCAGATTCAAATCCAAGTCTTCCCCATTAATTACTACACATATCTTGGTTTCCTTACTGAACTATTATGTAAAGAATGATCATTTTTTTCTTCTGGGAGTGGGAAGATGGAAGATGCTGTGAAGCTTAAATAAAGTAAGGAACTTGATATTTGCTGAACAGATTGGGGGTTCAAAAAAGCCCCACTTTTATGCTTCTTACCATGCCTTTGGTCACACACATGGAGTGAATAAACTTTGTGCTTTCATCTATCAAAATTCTTTTCCTACTAACCAACTCCTCTTACTATCCACAAGAAGAAGTAATCTCTCCTATCTGTGCACATCCATGGAAGTTTGTTTATAGTTATTTTGTATTGTATTTCCAACTTCCCAGCTAGTCTCAAAGCATTATGTAGGCAGGGATAGTATAATTTGACGCTCTATAATGCTTTTTACAAAGCCTAAGATATTATAAGGGCTCATTCTAATCATTCATTTTACTCACTTATTTTATACATACTTTTTGAGTGTCTATTATATGCTCTGCCCTAGAGAGAGAAGATAGCCCAGCAAGTCTATGATATCTTTGAGTTTATATTCAAGGAAGGAAGTGGCAAAAGATAGCTTAATGGCTAAATATATAATTTGGCTATCTCTCTCCTCTCAATGGCAAAGCCATCACTCAGGATGCTTTTGTTTTGTTTTGTTTTGACAGTTGTTTAAAAAATCTTTTCTGAGACTTTCTGACTCAAGCATCTGCAAATCAGTCACACCTTTTTTGACTCTCTACAGCCAAGATCAGCCCTGAACTTTGACCCTGTTTAGATGGCCCAAGGCAGTAGCATGCCTATTTTAGCACTTCACTAAATACCAAAGTACCAAAGGCTCATACC